TTCCGGCCCTTCTTGTAGATGGGTGTCACTTAACTACACAAAAGGTGCTCAAGACAGCAACAGTTTGGGGTACGTCAGATCAGGTTATCTTCAGGAGTTTGCTTCATGGGGTTAGCTGGCCCTCTTCAAATCCCCAGCTAACTTGTCTAGCTCTTGGGCATGTGTTGTTACATAGCACTGTCTCACAGCACTGATACTGTAAGAATTTAGCAACCACTAGGAAATGGCAAATGAAGCAATACTCCTCACAGTGTTTACATGCTGTTTGATTTCAGGAAAGTTTGAGGTAGCACTCTCCCTCCTCAAGCATTCAGTGTATTTAGGAAAAGCCAACCCTTATGAAATCACTTTATACTTGCAATATTTCTAGTGCTGTTGATACAAGTGAAAGAAACCCATATAGACCTCTGTGTAGATTGAAACCGAATGAATAAAGTGTATAGTACTACTGGTAAATCATCATTCTTTTAAAGTTTACTTTTTATGCAATTTCTTTCTCCTTGAACACAACATTGATAAATCAAAGGGCCTTTAATCTGTTCTTTCCATAGCTCCTTTGTGGTAGAGAGACAGCCTTGCATGCCAACACATCCTCAGAGGCCATTAGTTCTGAAGACGGGAGTACAGTTTACTGTAAAGCTGAGGTATGTTTTCCCCTTCCCCCATCTATTTTCGTGGTAAGCCTTTAATGTCATTGGCTTCCTACAGCTGAGAGGATTTCACATCTTACACAGTGGGCTAAGAGCAAAGGTCAGGAGGAGAAGGAAGGTGCCATGTGGCAGGGTGATGTCTTCTAGCGAAGTTTAACTTGCATTTAGCTTTTACCCTTTACCAGAAAGGGGCGATATCAAGTGTATAAGAAACACAATGAAACAGCACAGAGACATGCAGACCACTTTTTTATGCAGAATAATAACTCATTTGCCCATCTGGTTTCCTTCTAAATCGGGATCTGGGATCAGTGTCTACAGACCTTGATAATTTTTCTTGTCACTGCAAATATGATACAAGCTCCAAGCTTGCTCCATACAAGATATGTGGCTTAAATATACCTGTGATAAACAGTGCTATTAAAGAGAACCCATCTTTTGCAATTGCAGTCATTTAAAAAACAAAACAAAACCAACCAACTTTCTCTTTCCAGATTGCTGGTGAGATTGCAGGAATTGAACTACAACTTGAAAGTGAAAGTATTATTTGATAAGTACGTTGCATTTTTCTCATCCCTGTGTACGTTAATGGTAAGCAGCCCCCATGTTTAGAAACCCAAAAGGCAGTCATATTTTAAGTGTTGACTGGCCAGGAGCAGGCTGGTTTTCCATGGCAGCAGGTACATTCTCCCTTTTCTTACCCACATCCTGACTCTATAGCTCTCTGCTATTAGGGACATGTCACAAAGTACAGAAGGCCTCAGCACTTGATTTA